GCTGCCAAGACGCAAAATCTGTTCAAAATTTTCCACTGATACAAACATCAAAAGCATAAAGTATTCATTAATTTATTTCTATTTATTATCTTATTTCCGTTTATTTCTATTGCTTTATTTAACACATCATGTCATCTCAGGTCACTTTATAGATCCAGATCAACCAGATCATCCAGTCAGATTAATTCAAAGTTTTCTATCTAAGGAAAACCAGCTGATTGCATCGACTCATTGACTCTTCAGCAATCCCTCACACTAAGCATGCTTGTAGCGACAGTGGAGAGGAAAAACTCCCTTTGAACAGGAAGAAACCTCCAGCAGAACCAGGCTCAGTGTGAGCGGCCATCTGCTGAGGCCCACTGGGGTTCAAGGAGACAGAAGCAGACATAGAAAAAGAAGCATAGATACAAAAGGCAACTGTCAACCAGCTCCACAGGCGGCCCCGTCCAGGAAACACACAGCCAGGCAGACGAGCTCCGAGCCAGCTCCCATGTCAGAGGATGAAGAGAGCACATCCAGTTAGTCACAGTCAGAGAAACAGGACTACACTGGGGCGACAGTGGCGTTGGATGGAGGAGTTTGCCCTGTAATTGAAGGGTTGACGGTTCAAACCCCGACTCCGACTTTCATTGTCGTTGTGTCCTTGGGCAAGACACTTCACCTGCATTGTCTACTGATGGTGGTCAGAGGGCCCGGTGGCGCCAGTGTACGGCAGCCTCGCTTCTGTCAGTGAGCCCCAGGGCAGCTGTGGCTACAATGTAGCTTGCCACCATCAGTGTGTGAGTGTGTGTGTGAATGGGTGAATGAATGTAGTGTAAAGCGCTTTGGTCAAGTCTCCTAACTTGAATAAAGGCGCTATATAAGTACATGCCATTTACCATTTTTACCATTTACACTGGAAAACAGGCCAAGCTCCAACATCTAGAAACAAAGGTGTTGATGGCAGCAGCACAGCTGATATTTCTCTCCAGTTAGTCACAGTCAGAGAAACAGGACTACACTGGAAAACAGGCCAAGCTCCAACATCTAGAAACAAAGGTGTTGATGGCAGCAGCACAGCTGATATTTCTCTCCAGGATGGAGTCACAGCCAAACAGGAACAGACCAGATGAAGCTACTATGAGAAAAAGCAGAGAGAGCAGAACGTTAGAGATTGAACTAACAGATTCTGCAGAGTGGGAGAATAGAGATAGAATGAAGCAGAATGATGAAAAAGGGGTCCCTATGTCCTCCAGCAGTCTAAGCCTATAGCAGCAGAACTATAGAGATAGATCAGGATAACCTGAGCCACTCTAACTAGAAGCTTTATCAAAAAGGAAAGTTTTAAGCCTAGCCTTAAAAGTAGACAGGGTGTCTGCCTCACGGACTAAAACTGGTAGTTGGTTCCACAGGAGAGGAGCCTGAGAACTAAAAGATCTGCCTCCCATTCTACCTTACTGGGCCTTTTGGACTGGTTTTGCATGGTTTACCTGGTCATGCTGTAGTATTGGAGCAAACTCTGTCTTCAGTTTGTTCAGGTGTTTACGAGGTCTGCAGCAACTGTTGACGGCCAGCGAGGAGGAAGGTTCCAGCTTCTTGATGGCAGCATCAGTGGAGAATTCACAGAGCTGGTGAGGTCACGCTTTTCTCAGATGATCTTACTTCGCCGTGTGAAGCTAACCAGATCATTGCCCTCTGAAGGTACCAGACCAGAGGATAAAGATGCGCTGGCGTTTCAGAACATGGCCCAGTGGTGAGTTTTGAGTTTTGACTGTTGCATCTTGGTCTATTCCAACATCTGAGCACATGGTTCCTCCTTCAGAGCACTATGCCACCATCATTCTGGACCTGCTGGATCGAGGAGATGAGACGGAGCTGAAGTTGGAGTGCCAAGGAGTTCCTGCAGGAGAAGAGGAGCCCACCAGGGAGGGCTGGAGTCGCTTTTACTTCCAGGCCATTAAACAAACATTTGGATACTGAAGGAGACTCTGATCTCTGAAGAACATCTAAGGGGTTAAAATGCAAACCAACATTTTACTGTTAATATTCTCTGGATGAAGAAATATTTAAACAGAAGGAAATGCTTTGATGAAATCTCCTGCTGCTGGTTTCTGTCCAAGGTGGGTCCAGGAAGTGGGAACCCTGGATGGGAAACTTCTGCTGGAAGTCAGACTGAAGAGAAGAGGTCCATCATGTCTGACTGTTTGCTTTGCTCTAACCCTGAATGCAGCCTGTTTTCTTTGCTAGCTGGATTCACAATTGTTTTCAGCAAATGTGTAAAGATGTGGGGAAAACTAGCCGGGCTGCAGGAAGCATGGATAACATCCACTATCCTGCAAGATGTGCCTTTGGTCCAACACACCTGAATCTAACCGTTAGATGATTGAGAGGATTCTGCTAACTGAGGAGGTAACTCTGCCGTTTGATGCAGGTCTGTTGGACCAAGGATGGATCTGAAAGTTGCAGGAGGCCGACTCCCAGAAACTGGAATTGCTTTAATTCCCAGCATATTTACAGATTGCTGAACCAGAAATGTTTTTATCAAAACTGTCCTAAAAATGTCTGCTGCAGATCTGTGATCACCGACGTTTCTGAAGCTTTTAGGTTTCATTGCTCCCCAATCATTTATGCATTCTGTGTTTAATGCGTCTTATGTTTCATTTAACTGGTGACCCCAAAATGAATTAACCGGAATAAATGACTGCAGGCAGATTGGTTAGAAATGAGACCCTTTTTCTTCTGCTTGTTATTATTAAACTTTTAAACGAGAGACTTAATGATGTATTTAGATTTTGAGTTGTTTGAAAATGATCTTTCTGCTTTTCAACTGTAAGAACCATTAAAACTGAACATAGATGTTTGAAATATTTATTGAACCACAATTTTTCTCCGTAAATATATTTCTAGAGATGCTATTGACATTTTCAGCAGGTGTCCCCATTTAACCCAGAAATCTCTCAGGAATTAGAAAGCAATCCGTGCAAACTTAGATCAGCTGGTTCAGTCCCAGATTATGGCCAATGGGAAGGTGTCTCTGGATTTAAAACATCTCACGATGGTTAAAGGTAAAGACCTTCCAACCTTAATGATGCCGTGGTTCCACAATGTTTTCTAAACTTCTGAGTGATCCAGTGAGAACTGTTGTTGTTCTAGTTGTTCTATTTCTAGATTATGTTGTCATAATCTAGAAATAGAACATCGTTCCATCATAAACCGACCAGGACCAGGTGCTCCTTACAAGATTTCTGACAGAGGAGTGAAAAGAATGATCAGAGTTTTCCAAGAGCGAAAGGCCGCCAGGGGAGAGCTTCAGAAAGGATGAATTGTTTCAGAGAAAACAGTCGGTAACGCAGTCAGCCGCCACGGTCTGCAGCACGCTCACCACGCACGACTCCACTGCTGAAGGAAAAGCTGCTGAAGCAACATTTAGACCAGCCTGAGAAATACTGGGAGAATATAGTCTGCTCAATAAACTCTTTAGGTGCCATAATACACATCAGGTTTGCAGGTCAAAGGGCACTGCCCCATAAACCCCATAATCACCATGGCAACAGTGAAGTTTGGAGGAGGGAGCATCATGGTGTGGGGATGTTTTCAGCGTACGGTTCTGGCAAACTTCAAATCATTGAAGGAAGAAAGGTTAGGGTTAAAATCTGCTGCCATCTACCAGGAGAGGAAACGTTGGTGGACATTTCAGCGAGACGATGAGCTCAAACACGCAGCCAGGAAACTCTCCACTGGTTTCAGAGAAAGAAATAAAGCTGCTAGAATGGCCCAGCCAATCAGCTGACTGGAATACAATAGAAAAATCTATGGCGAGAACTAAAGGTCAGAGTTCATAGAGGACGCCCACAAAGTTGTCAAGATTATAAGACTGTTTGTGTGGAGGAATGGGCCAAAATCACACCTCATCAATGCATGCCACTCATTTCTCCATCCAGGAGGCGTCTGTGTCATAATCTTGGCACTGATGACTGGATTATTAGTTCCTTCCATCCACCTGCCTTCCTCCACCCAGTTCTCATTACATTTCATCAGATGTTCCAGCTTTTACTGAAACTGTTTGCTCCCAGCCATCAGGGCCAGATTATTGGAGCTGTAGGTGAGAGTTCTCTAGCGTACCCAGTTTGTTACTCTGAGAATCTGATCCTGAGCCTGTTCCAGTTCTGATCTGTTTGCCTGACCTGTCTTCGGACTCCTGCTGGATTCCGTCTGCTTTCTACCTTGGATCTGTTTCCTGACCTCGGCTTGGATTTCCCTTCCGTACCTCTTCAGGTCTCTGATCTTCTGGCCTGTTTACCTCATCAACACAGTCTTTGGCTTCTCCTTCCGGTAACTCCTGCTGTTCCTCGTCTGCTGGCTGTTGCTCGTCGGTCGGCTCTTCAGCCATCTTGGATCCTGGAACTCTCTGGGCGGCACAGATCATGCTGTGGAAACTCATCCAACTGGATTCCACTCCTTCCTCCGGGCTCGAACTGAACTTAATAATGAGGTTAGTGACTCACATGCTTGTCATCGTTCCCCATCAGAGCTACGCGGTCACTAACCTGAGTTCCTCCCTCCTCAGGGATTCCGGATCTTTAGTCCTGCTGCTGACCTGCGGATTTTCCAGGACTTTAATGAATCCCTCCAGTCTGTCTACCTGAATTCTGGGTCCATCTTTCTTAGTTCTGACAGTCTCGAAGCTTTCATTGAAAACAACGGCTTTTATAAAACTAATTAAATACATTTCCAGTGAGCGTGTTCAATGGATTTTCCCTGTGCAGTTTCACTTTATTACAACTAACTTCATTTCTTTACATCTATGGTGGTGTGCCATCTGCCATGATCATGGTTTTTGGACATAGGGGACCAGTGTCCATATTTCATCTTGACATGATGACCAGTTGATGACCATGAAGATGCAGTTTTGGAGATTAAACAGCTGTAAGAACCTGCTTGGTTCTGTTATCCTTTACTTTGCTCCTTGTTTTCTAGTTTTTATTGGTTTAATTCCTATTTTGTTGTCATTTCTAGATTTATGTTCTCATGTTGTCCTCTGTTGTCCTCTCATGTGTGTGTTTTCCTTTCCCCTTGGCTCCCTGGTTGTCTCCTCTCACACCTGCTCCTTCTCAGCTCGTTAGCCCTCCCTTTGTCTCTGTCAGCTTTAAATGCTCTCCCTCTGCTCTCACTCTTTGTTGGTTCCTTGTTACTGGTCCTGTCGTCGCCGTTGTCCTCTCACCTCGTCTCTCCCTGGCTCCTTGTGCTTGTTTCCCTTGATGTCTCTATGATTCTGGTCTGAGTTAAATTTTAGTTGGATTTTGGGATTTTTCCTCTGTTATCAGTGTTTTCATTAAAACTACAATAATTCACCTCAGCCTCTATGCCTCTGGATTGTGGGTCCTCTTCACTACAACCAAGACCTGGCCGTTTTTTTAACCTGGTTTATGGCTGGTTTTAGGCTGGTTTATGGCTGGTTTATGGCTGGTTTTAGCCTGGTTTATGGCTGGTTTTAGGCTGGTTTATGGCTGGTTTTAGGCTGGTTTATGGCTGGTTTTAGGCTGGTTTATGGCTGGTTTATGGCTGGTTTTAGCCTGGTTTATGGCTGGTTTTAGGCTGGTTTATGGCTGGTTTATGGCTGGTTTTAGCCTGGTTTATGGCTGGTTTTAGGCTGGTTTATGGCTGGTTTTAGGCTGGTTTATGGCTGGTTTATGGCTGGTTTTAGCCTGGTTTATGGCTGGTTTATGGCTGGTTTTAGCCTGGTTTATGGCTGGTTTATGGCTGGTTTTAGCCTGGTTTATGGCTGGTTTTTGGCTGGTTTTAGCCTGGTTTATGGCTGGTTTTAACCTGGTTTTAGGCTGGTTTATGGCTGGTTTTTGGCTGGTTTTAGCCTGGTTTATGGCTGGTTTTAGCCTGGTTTATGGCTGGTTTTAGGCTGGTTTATGGCTGGTTTTAGGCTGGTTTATGGCTGGTTTTAGGCTGGTTTATGGCTGGTTTATGGCTGGTTTTAGCCTGGTTTATGGCTGGTTTATGGCTGGTTTTAGCCTGGTTTATGGCTGGTTTTAGGCTGGTTTATGGCTGGTTTTAGGCTGGTTTATGGCTGGTTTTAGCCTGGTTTATGGCTGGTTTTAGCCTGGTTTATGGCTGGTTTTAGCCTGGTTTATGGCTGGTTTTAGGCTGGTTTATGGCTGGTTTTAGCCTGGTTTATGGCTGGTTTTAGCCTGGTTTATGGCTGGTTTTAGGCTGGTTTATGGCTGGTTTTAGGCTGGTTTATGGCTGGTTTATGGCTGGCTTTAGGCTGGTTTTAGGCTGGTTTATGGCTGGTTTTAGCCTGGTTTATGGCTGGTTTTAGGCTGGTTTATGGCTGGTTTTAGGCTGGTTTTTGGCTGGTTTTAACCTGGTTTATGGCTGGTTTTAGGCTGGCTTATGGCTGGTTTTAGGCTGGTTTTAGGCTGGTTTATGGCTGGTTTTAGGCTGGTTTATGGCTGGTTTTAGGCTGGTTTATGGCTGGTTTTAGGCTGGTTTATGGCTGGTTTTAGGCTGGTTTATGGCTGGTTTTAGCCTGGTTTATGGCTGGTTTTAGGCTGGTTTATGGCTGGTTTTAGGCTGGTTTTTGGCTGGTTTTAACCTGGTTTATGGCTGGTTTTAGGCTGGCTTATGGCTGGTTTTAGGCTGGTTTTAGGCTGGTTTATGGCTGGTTTTAGCCTGGTTTATGGCTGGTTTTAGGCTGGTTTATGGCTGGTTCTAGGCTGGTTTTTGGCTGGTTTTAACCTGGTTTATGGCTGGTTTTAGGCTGGTTTATGGCTGGTTTTAGCCTGGTTTATGGCTGGTTTTAGCCTGGTTTATGGCTGGTTTTAGGCTGGTTTATGGCTGGTTTATGGCTGGTTTATGGCTGGTTTTAGCCTGGTTTATGGCTGGTTTTAGGCTGGTTTATGGCTGGTTTTAGCCTGGTTTATGGCTGGTTTTAGCCTGGTTTATGGCTGGTTTTAGGCTGGTTTATGGCTGGTTTTAGCCTGGTTTATGGCTGGTTTTAGCCTGGTTTATGGCTGGTTTTAGCCTGGTTTATGGCTGGTTTTAGGCTGGTTTATGGCTGGTTTTAGGCTGGTTTTTGGCTGGTTTTAACCTGGTTTATGGCTGGTTTTAGGCTGGCTTATGGCTGGTTTTAGGCTGGTTTTAGGCTGGTTTATGGCTGGTTTTAGGCTGGTTTATGGCTGGTTTTAGGCTGGTTTATGGCTGGTTTTAGGCTGGTTTATGGCTGGTTTTAGGCTGGTTTATGGCTGGTTTATGGCTGGTTTTAGCCTGGTTTATGGCTGGTTTATGGCTGGTTTTAGGCTGGTTTATGGCTGGTTTTAGCCTGGTTTATGGCTGGTTTTAGGCTGGTTTATGGCTGGTTTTAGGCTGGTTTTTGGCTGGTTTTAACCTGGTTTATGGCTGGTTTTAGGCTGGCTTATGGCTGGTTTTAGGCTGGTTTTAGGCTGGTTTATGGCTGGTTTTAGGCTGGTTTATGGCTGGTTTTAGGCTGGTTTATGGCTGGTTTTAGGCTGGTTTATGGCTGGTTTTAGGCTGGTTTATGGCTGGTTTTAGCCTGGTTTATGGCTGGTTTATGGCTGGTTTTAGGCTGGTTTATGGCTGGTTTTAGGCTGGTTTTTGGCTGGTTTTAACCTGGTTTATGGCTGGTTTTAGGCTGGTTTTTGGCTGGTTTTAGGCTGGTTTTAGGCTGGTTTATGGCTGGTTTTAGGCTGGTTTATGGCTGGTTTTAGGCTGGTTTATGGCTGGTTTTAGCCTGGTTTATGGCTGGTTTTAGGCTGGTTTATGGCTGGTTTTAGGCTGGTTTTTGGCTGGTTTTAACCTGGTTTATGGCTGGTTTTAGGCTGGCT